ATCAGTGAGTTGTTCAATCCAGGGTGCTTCAGTGAGCTGGCGCCTGCTTTTGGATTGATGTCCGGAGTTGCAGCGCATCCCGAGCTCTTGAATGAAGGCGGCGAGTCGTGTGACTTGAGTCTTGAAAACATCCAGTTGGAATTTCAGCGTGATGTTGATTTTGAGGATCCGTATCTACTTTTTTCGGCTCCTCCGCGCGCGAAGTTTTTGATTTTGCAGGCTCTCAGTCGAGGCAGGCGCGTTGGCGAGGATGAGCGTCAGCGTCAGGTGCAACAGGACGCAGAGTTATTGCATTTCGGAATCCAACAGTGTCGGAGGATATATGATCGGAAGCGTTGGTTCTTGCGTGAATACCCCTGGGCTTCGAGTTCTTGGGGGGGGGGGGGGGGGGGTCCTGAAGTAGCTGCGTTGGCTTCCCTTCCAGGCTTTCACGTTGTTCGGGGAGATGTGTGTTCCTGGGGCCTGAAGGCTAAGAACGACGACAGGGGATCTGGAGCCCGTGATGATGGCCACGGGCTGGATGACTAACAATCGCAAGCTAGCTGAACTCCTAAGCCGTAGGTGGAACGGGAAACTCAAGCATGCGCGACTCATGGGCAAGAGCAAGGTCAGTGGGGCTAAGACCTACGCGATGAAGCTCAAGAAGGGTATCCTCGGAGTTCTCAAGCAGGAGCTCGTTCGCATCGGCGAGTTGAATAGCGTGGCCCAGGGGGGCCCCGTCCCGGATGAGGAGATCGATTTCTGGATGCCGGGCGCGCCGCCGGACGGTGTCGCCGGGAACGGTTTCTGGGGTGATGTTAACGGAGGTTGGCTAGATCCTAAGCTCGTGAAGGAAGCGAGGGAGGCCGAGATGGACTGGGTGAGCAGGCAGTCCGTCTACGCCGTGTGCGATGAGTCCGAGTGCCATCAGGCGACGGGGAAGGGGCCGATCATAGCGGGCTGGGTCGACGCGAACAAAGGGGATTCCGAGCGGGCTCGATGCCCCTCGAGGCTCGTAGCAAAAGAGGTGAAAAGGGCCAAGCGGCCCGGTGAGCAGCTGCGCGCTAGCGAGTTGTTTAGCGGGGCGCCCCCGCTCGAATCGATTAGGCTCTTGGTTCGCCTCTTGGCTTCGCAGAAGTTTTCGAAGGGTGGTTTGCCGTTGAAGCGTGGTTCTTGGGATGTCTCTCGGGCCCGCGCGCGCGGGGGGGCCCAGAGGAACGTCTTCGTGCGCCTGCCCCCCGAAGAGGGGGAGCTGGCTGGCAAGCGTGCTAGGCTGAACAAGTCTCTGTGCGGTGCCCAAGATGCTTCTCACATATGGCAAGGAGATTATATCGCCCACCTGGCCGGCGAGAACTGGAGGCGGGGTGTGGCCTCGGCCGCGCTCATCTAGAGAGAGAGAGAGAGAGAGAGAGAGAGAGAGAGAAAGAGAGAGAGAGAGAGAGAGAGAGCGATGGCGGTCGAGGAGCGGACCGCGGTGATGATTTCATGGTTTGAGGAGATGAGGTCGTTTTTAGCGAAGTAGATCTCTGTCTCGGGTCCCGGTACGATATGAGATGCATTGGGATCCTGGGGCCGGATCTTGGCGATCAGAAGGAGGTCGTATTTGTGAATCGTGTTTTCAGGTTTGTGCAATCATCCCGGGCGGTAGATATAGAAGGGGATCAGCGCCATGTATATCTCATCTTGCGTGATCACGGTCAAGACCGTCGAGGGTCCAAGGGCCTTGAGAATCCTGCCGTCAAGGTTTTGTTCAAGGTGCTAAGTCTAGGGAGGCACTACCTACGCTAGACGCTGCAGGGATTTGTTCACATAGGTCTTTGGGTACGCGAGTTGCGTACTTGAGTTTAGATGGGCCAGACTTGGCCGATGCTATCAAAACTTTGTGCAGGTCTATGAAGCCTCCTAATGCTGCCAACCAAGCGGACATGAAACGTCTTGGTCGGTATCTTGTGTCTCACCGTTGTCTAGTCACTCGTTTCGAGTCGCAGAGTTTGCCCACCGAAGTGGCAATGATATTAGACAGGGACCATGCCGGGTGCCCAGTCACCCGCAAGTCAATTTCAGGAATCTCTTACAAGTTTGGTCACCATGTGCTGAAGGCAGCCACCTCTCTCCAGAGTGCCATTCGTCTCAGCAGTGGCGAGAGCGAGCTCTGTGCCATTGTAAAGGGTGCTGCTACTGGCTTGATGGTGCAATCTATAGCGCAGGATCTGGGTGTAACCTTGGGTGTCTGCGTTCGCAATCATGACGATTTTCCGATTTAGTTGGCTTCGGATTCTAGTGCTGCTCGAGCTTTCGCGCAACGCAGGGGACCCAACAGGCAGAAACATTTGCAGAGTATGTTTCTTTGGGTCCAGGATGCAATCTCGAAGCGTCGGATCCGAGTAATTAAGGTAGCTGCTCATAAGAATGAGAGTGATGTGCTCACCAAGTGCGTGTCGGGATATGCGTTGCGCAAACATCATACGAACATGGTTTTTGAGTTTAGAGAGTCCTGGAGCAAACTACATAGAAAACTGGCTTGCAGAGTTTGCTTCAGACGGCGCTTTGGCAGGAGTGCATATGTGTAGCTTATTGTATCAGTGTCTTGTCAGCAAGTTGTGGCTCAGTTGTTTGCATTGTCGTGTACTGCTGTTGGACGCAACCGTTTGGCTCCAGGCACCTTTCGGCTGTGGAAGGAAAGCGGGTCGTCTCCTCACTTGCTTTATTTCTGCATGTGTGTGGGTGTGTGCGTGCGTGCGTGCGTGCGTGCGTGCGTGTGTGTGTGTGTGTGTGTGTGTGTGTGTGTGTGTGTGTGTGTGTGTGTGGGGATTCGGAGTTTGGGTATTGAAGCTCTCTTGGGGGTCCTCTGGGCCCCCTGCTGGGGCGTATTCGGGGCCCCTTGGGCCGGCCGTCTTGAAGCCTCTCCGGCGTCCTGGAGCCCTTCTGGGAGCCCTCTTGGGGGCCACCTTGGGCCTTTCGGAGGCCATGGGCGGTGGATCTGGAGGCTCCGCAGGCCCCAGCGGTGCGTCGATGAGCTCGCGGGGGGACCCCTGGACCGGCGCCAGGTCTCCCTGTGCGGCGCCTGCGCGCTCCGCGCGCCAGGGACGGGGGGCGTGCTTCAGCACAGATCCGAAAGAACCGCGCGGACCTTTGGAAGTTCTGCGTGAATGTTTTTTTTTGTTGGTTGTATTTTCTCTTCCCTCCAGGGAACGGGGGAGGGGAGACAGCCAAGCGTTTCAGCGGATTTTGGCGTCCAGGAGCCGCCTTCGAGCCCTGGGGCCATCACGAAAATGGCCCGCGACGAAAAGGCGGGCCCAGGATGGGCTCTGAGGCAGACTTATTGAGTCCGTGCTTCGTCGAGAGGTTTCCGCATGTAGGCCTGGGACATGAAAAATCGCTCCAAAGCGCGTTTCGGCACCCTTTCAGCATTCCGGAACGCTTTGGAATGGCCGCGGCGTCTGCTACATCCTCGAGGTCCACCAGCCCTCAGAGATTCCCGATTTGCACTCTCACCCGAAGTTGTCCTCATCTTGCCTTCGTCTTATTTCGGGGACGCCAGAATGGTCCTGAACTGCTTCTTTTCTGGCTCGACTCGGGGCCGCCTAAAATCTCCAGGCGCCGGTGACGTTGTGCCTGAGAATTGCCAGCTTCATGACTGCTGGCAAGGCTTTTCCACCATGCTAGAATGGCCTAAGACAAGGAGGAAGACGACGACGGAGACGGTGACGGCGGAGACGACGACGGCGGCGGCGGCGCCGACGACGAGGAAGACAAGGCAAGAAATCCGTGCATCCATGAAGGACGCGTGGGCAGAAAACGGAACTAACAAGTTGCCAGAGCCGGCGTCTTCAGGAGGGGGAAGAGAGGGGAGGAAACGGCAGACGACACCTCTCCGCGACAGCTTCTGCGCCTCTAGGCGTCGCAGGAAGATACACCACGGCAGTCGACGTCGGGTAGGAGCTCTCGGGCCGGCGAGGGCTCGCGGAGGGCGGCCCGCGATGAGAAGACTCTTGGGGAGGAGATCCGGCCCCTGGCGATGTGCTGACTCATCCACAGCATCACAGAGTCAAAGCGCTTATCCTTAATTTTTTGTCAGGCCTCGTGCTTTGCGCAGAAAGGTCTGACGTGCTGTCTGTAGGCATTCGTGAGGCCACCTTGGTGTTTCGTGGCAGTCTTGCACAGCACCGAGGCGTCCAGAGGCCGTGCTGGGGCTGTCTTGTGTCCATCCTGGTGCCTCCTTTGGTTGTTGCACGTGTGTCCATCTCGGGCACTTTGGGGACCTCTGGAGGCTTTTGTGGGCTCTCTTGAAGCGATGTTGAGACCTCTTGGGGTTTCAACGGGCGACAGGAGACACAACACTCAAACGACGATGATTTTCAGTGTCAGTGTCTTCTCTTCGAGTGCAATCTTGGAGGCCCCTTTGCGTCATCTTGGGTGACTTGATCGCAGACCGAAGTCAAACTCAGAGTAACATTATATCAGAACCTTGCCAATGTCATTTCCGACACAGATCGAAATCATACGGAAGTCATAATTTATTCGAAGTCGGTCTGAAGTCAGACCGGACTCGGGCCGAAGTCAGTCCGAAATCAGACTGAATTCAGGGTTGGGCCGAAACCGCTGGGCCTAAGCCGACGTTTGCATTCAAACCAGACGCAGGCCGCGACCAGGCCATGCGGAATTGGCCCAGACCGACGCCATCCGCCTGGGTGGCCACCGAACCCGATGGAATGCCTCTTCTGGGGCCCTGGAGGCAGCGCGTTCGTGCAGCACGCGCGTCCTCACCTACCTGGAGGAACACAGCAGGCCTCCATGGTTGCCGGCCCCCAGGAAGCACACGTGCATCATTAGGGGACCAAAAGCGAACCCTACCCCTACCCCCCACGACTTCTGAGGGGGAGGGTGGAGGGTGGGGTTCACTTCGCTCGGGAGCTCCCGGACGAAGTGAACCCCACCCTCCCACTCAGAAGCCAAGGAGGGTATGGGGTAGGGTTCGCATGTGGCCCCCTGATCATACCTCCTTGGGGCCAACCTGCACCAGCACACACGAGCGTGCGACTCGACAAGGAGCCCGAGCCTCGCATGCAGGCGGCCCCGCGCAAGGGGGCCGTCGGCCTCTTCGTGTCGTGCCGTGCGAAGGTGTCCGTAGTCGTTTGGGCTCGGGACATTGGCTCGAGGGTGCAGTGTCTTGTGCACGTTGGCATCTCAGCTTCCATTGAGCTTCGTCGTTTGTGAAAGTCGTGCCTGTTTCAAATGGCGCAAGCTGCCATCATGGCGATTCTCCTCGCGTCCTCAGCCTCGCAGCCTTGCGGCAGCCGTGTCGACATCAGCTTTGAGCAGCGCGCAGCCAAGTTGGATCAACGTCCATCCATGCGCAACGATGACATTACTCCAGGGAAGCACATCGTTTGCCCAGTGCTGAATGCTTTCGTGCAGAATGGCGACATGAGGACGAACGGCGAAAATGTGGATGCCGATACCGTCATCAATTCGCTCATGCGGGCCGGGCTTAATCAGCCAGAATATGAAGGCGATCGATTGCCGCCTGGCCTGACACAGAGTAATGCCTTTGAGTACACCCTGGGCATCTTCCTGAAAAACAAAGCGGGCAATTACCGCGACGAGGATGGCGATCTGACACTCCCGATCTACAATTTCCCTGGGACCAACCACGAGCACAACAGTCATACGGGCATCACCACGCAAGAGGGCCTTCCGTTTGATGCCGCTCGGTGGGACGAGTTGGCCGTTCGAGCAGATCGCAAGCTTGTCGATGGAAGAGACTGCTTTTCACGCGACGCGTGGGCCGAGGCCATGCGATCCTTCGAGATGAAATACTACAATGGCACGGGCAGCCACGATATTGACAACAGCAAGGTTCGCTCCGGTCACTCCATCACAGCGCCAGAGGCCAAATGGGGCGGCGGCTGGTTGATAGGCAAGCTGTTGAACCACGGTGCCGAGAAGGGCAACGAAATCGGTGGAAAGCGGCTCGTTGCAGGCGTCTCACAAGTGTTCAATGGCATGGTCAATCTGTTCTGGACTGGCGATTATGGCAACCTAGAGCTGTACAAAGCACGCGCCAAGCAGCTTGAGTCGCAAGAAGGGAAGGCCGGCTTGAGCTTCCCATGGCTCGACGCGAGCTTCTGCTTGCCTGTCGACGAGCTGAAGGCGCTGCTCGTGAATGGCACCTACCCCGTTTCGAGCGGCTACGGCGCAATGGCGAAGGAGGAGTACCAAGAGAAGGGCAAGGTGTGGAAATTCCCTAAGTCACGCTGCACGGCGACCTATTTTCAGCAGGGCCACGAAGGATACGATCCCCATGCTGCGTGCATCAATGGCGAGCCGCCGCTCGTCGACAAGTCCGTCGTGGCGCCTTGGGCCAAACGGTCTGCCATTCACGTCTTGTTCGGGAAGAGGTAGGCTGCAGATACAGTGGAGACCCACGCCAAAAAACACCCTGCTTGCCTCCAGGGTGCCCTGGGTTTCTTGGGTTTCGATGGGTTTGCGATGGAAGGCGTGACGTTCCCACACCAAAAACCAATGGACGTCCTGGGGTCTCAGGGTTGGGTTTGCTGTGGAAGGTTTCTTGTGGTCGAGCTCCCACTGTACCAAAGTGGGTTAGATGTGGAGATCGGACGGCCTTCGCGATTTGGGTGATGGCAGCATCGCTGCACCAAGGCTGCCGCGTTGCACGCGCATGCGATGCCGCTCGCTTCGGCAAGGAGCGGCGTGGCTGGCCAGGCCGAGAGGTTCAGAGATGGGGTTAGAGATGCTCCCGTCACCAAGCTGACGGGCGGAGGGAGTGAGGATGTCAATTAGTGTCGACGTCCAGGGCCGCCCCAGAGTTGTGCAGAGCCGGCATGGTCTGGGTGACTGGCTGTTCTTGGCACTTCGCCACGGGAGGCCATCTCTCGCGTCTCTTGTACTTCTTTTCGTTGTCCGGGTGCTCGAGTCCGCCGCTGCTGTTGTGCTGTGGTACGCCGCTGCTGCTGCTGCTGCTGCTGTGAGCTCGAGTCCATTCTCCCCTCCCCTCCTCCTCGTCCTCTTCCATGCCCTCATTTCCTTTCCCCCTGGTCGCTGATACGTTTCACGGGTGAACTCGTATCGCTCAAGGCTCCTGCCCTGTGCCCCGCGCTGACCACGCAGACGAGAGCATCGGCAGGTTCACCATCGCGAGAGAAAAAAGCAAGAGGTCTCTTGGATAGTTCTAGGGGCCTTTTGCAGGCTTCTGTTTTTTTCGGTGCTTCTTGGAGGCCGCTTGGAGGCCTCCTGGGGGCCTCCTGGGGGCGTCTGTGGGCTTCTCGTGGGCCTCATGGTGGCCTGCTGGCCGTCTCGAGGGCCGTCTTGGGCTGGAGAGTTTGAAGTTGTAGGTCGAGGTCCCCCCCTTGGGCCCCTGTGGGGGGGAAGGGGAGCACGCGAAACTGATGCAGGGTTCTTTCCAAAGCTTTGGGGCTCCAGGGCCGACCCCCAGGGCCTCGTCGATGGCCCAGGAGGCTTCTGCCTCCTCCTCCTCCTCCTCCTCCTCCTCCTCCTCCTCCTCCTCCCCTCCATCCCTATCCCGCCCTACGAAGCACCCCGCATTTGCGGATGAGAGTGAGGGGGCGGGCGCTGGGTGGGTCGCCGGTGGGTCGCGGGCCAGGTCGCGGGCCGGGTCGCGAGGTGTGTCGCGGGGTGGATCGCGTGGTGGGTTACGGTTGGGTCGCGGAGTGGTCGCGGAGTGGTCGCAGGGGGGGGGGGGACGACGACAACAACAACAAGCATCATCCAGGGCCACGGAATCCCACCTCAGCCACGCATCCAGGGGCGGTGTAAGACCATGCGGCCCCCTCATTCTGATTGACAACTCATCCTTACCTCGCTCCCGAACGTGTCGGTACGGCGGGACAGGCGTTTCGCCTGAGACTTCCCCACCACTAATGCGCCTGAAGCCCGAGATGCGCAACAGTTTCGTGGATGAGCATGGGGATTCTCGCTTTAGCGCCGCGCACATTCGTCTTAAAAGTTTGCAGCAGTTTCGCGGATGGAGGGCGGCTCCTCTGCCCGCCCCCCCCTCTCCCCCCCTCCCCTCCTCCTCCCCTCCTCCTCCCCCTCCTCCTCCTCCTCCTCCTCCTCCTCCTCCTCCTCCTCCTCCTCCTCCTCCTCCTCCTCCTCCTCCCCTGCCACTCCCACTTCTCCCTCCCCCCCCCCCTTCCTCCTCGAACCTCTCCCTGTCGGGCCGCAGCCCCGGCGCGCGAGGTCGCCGTCCATGGCCACCTCCTCTGCGAGGGCTGGCCGGCTGGTGGCACAGGCCCCGCGGCCCCTGGGGCCGACCTTCGACGCCCCCCCCCGGCTTCCGCCCTCGGGCGACGAGCGGGTCGAGGGTTCGCCCCTCGGCCTGTTCGTCGCAGGGCGAGGGCGCTCCTCGAGGGTTCGCCTCCCCCGGGGGATCGACGAATCGATCCCAGGTTCGCCCCGTCGAAGCATCGACGAGCCGATCGAGGGCTCGCCCCCGGAAGGGATCGACGGACCGATCGAGGTCTCTCGAGGGATCGACGAGGCGATCGAGGGCTCGTCTCTCGCCCCTTGCCCCTCGGCCCTCGCCCTCTGGCCCTCGCCTCCACCTCACCTCTGAGGGTCTCTACTGCTAACGGCCCCCCCCCCCAAGCTCTCGGCTGGCAATTAGACTCGTCCTTCCCCTCCTCGTCCTTCCCCCCTCCTCCTCCTCCTCCTCCTCCTCCTCCTCCTCTTCCTCCTCCTCGTCCTCCTCCTCCTCGTCCTTCCCCCCTCCTCCTCCTCGTCCTCCACCAGCATCACCAGCATCAGCATCAGCATCATCATTATCAGCAGCATCAGCACCATCATCATCATCATCATCATCATCATCATCATCATCATCATCACCATCATCATCATCATCATCATCATTATTATTATTATTATTATTATTAGTATCATTATTATTATTATTATCATCATCATCATCGTCGTTATCAACATCATCATCACAACCACCATGATCATCATCACTATCACTACCACCACTTTCATCACCACCATCACCACCATCATCATCTCCATCATAAACATGATCATCATCATCAGCAGCATCACCAACAACACCATCATTATCATCATCACCAGCATCATCATCACCATCAGTGTTACCATCACCATCACCATCACCATCACCATCACCATCACCGTCATCACCATCATCATCAGCATCATCATCACCACCAGCATCATCACCATCATCACCAACATTATCATTTTCACCACCACCATCATCATCCCCATGACCATGATCATCGTCAGCATCCTCATCATCATCAGCATGATCATCATCACCACAATCATCATTAGTATCATCATTTCATGATCAACATCATCATCATCAGCAGCATCGCCGTCATCATCATCATCAGCAGCAGCATCATCATCATCATCACCACCATCACCATCACCATCACCATCACCATCACCATCATCAGCATCACTACCATCATCATCACCATCAGGGATTCCCATCCCCCTGATCATCAGCGGTGGCCGCCGCGTGAATTCATTCTTTTCCCAGTATTCCGTCAGCACGCCCGCGCAACACATAATTTCCCAATGTTCGGTGTGGTTTGTTTTAGATACCTTTTGCGGATTCCACATCGCGAGTATTGCCTTCCTGTCTCCGTTGACTCCGTCCAGGAGATATTCGGCCTTCGCCGCGCATTGTTTTGTACATGCAGGAATTCAGCAGTAGATCTTTCCATGTTTTCACTCCGATTGTTGTCGGTCCTTCAGAGTGCTGCTCCCGCTGCGACGCTGGCCTCACTTTCAGATCGGCGCGCTGCTCCCGACGTTCAGAATGCCGCTCTCACCCCAACGCAGTCCACTTTTCTAGATCCGAGTCCTTCCTCATCGTTGTCGCCCCCCTCGCGGAAACGGAAGACAGAACACAAAACAAAAGTTGTCGTTTGTTGTCTCTGTCTTCTTTTTTTCTGCGGTTGTTCTGTTTTTTATGGATTCGTTCTTAGTGTGATCATTTTTTGCTGCCTGCTTTGTTTGTCCTTTTTGTTTTTGTTGTTTGTTTTTTCTGCCTTCTCCTTCTCCGCCTTCCCCTGGTTTCTCTGCTCTTCCCGCTCCTCCCACTCCAGTTTCCGTTGCCGCTGTTCGTCCTTGTCCTCCTGTTCCTTCGTCGTCCTGCTCCCTTTTTCCTTCTGCTCAGCTTCCTGCCCGTCCGCCACCTCCTCGTCCTCTCCCTCCTCCTACATCCGTGTACGCAGTTCTCCTGGAGTCTTTTTTTGAGGCTCCACGTCCGCTGTGACACGCGCCCGCGGAGAGAGAAAATCGGCGCAACGGGAAGGTACGGGTGGAAGGGGCCGGATGTCAGACGTAGCCTTCGCCTTCCTCCCTCCACACTCCTCGGCCAGTGCCAAGGGGGTCACCATTTGGGGGGTCACCATACCACCGCCTCCTGGAAATCGAGGATTGAGGAGGAGGACGAGGAGGAGGAGGAGGAGGAGGAGGAGGAGGAGGAGGAGGAGGAGGAGGAGGAGGAAGAGGAGGAGGAGGAGGAGGAGGAGGAGGAGGAGGAGGAGGAGGAGGAGGAGGAGGAGGAGCGCACCCAGCTCGCCCTCCCTCCCCTCTCTCCCCGGCCTCGCCTCGCCCCTCCTCGCCCCTCCTCGCCCTCCGCCCCCCGTCCTCGCGCCCTTCCCCCCCCCCCCCGACGAACAGACCGATCGAACTCAGACGGGCGCCGCCGACGGTCAGCGAGCAGCCAGGACGCTGAGACAAGAGGGAACCGCTCCGCGCGCCGCGGGCCGAGCTGCGCGAATTCGGGCGACCTCGACAGGGCTCCTCTCGATGGCTTCCGATTCGATTCAACTTCGATGGCCCCCGATTCCGACTCGAGTCGACCTCGGATTCCGATCTGGGCTCCGATTTCTCAGAGAAGGCCTCACGAGCCTGCTGGCCTGGTGATTTCCGCCGATTGGACTTTCCTGGCTCGGCTGCCGATTTCAGCCGATCCGATTCATTTCGATCGCCAATCCAACTTGTCGATGCGATTCTAGGCTCTCCTGCACAGAGTCAGACGCTGAAATACGGAACAGATCGGGTTCGGAGCAGCAGCGAGGGAGAGGCACCGAGGGAGGTGCATCGGGGACCTCGACCGGACCGAGTGCTTTCGCCCTTGTCGACGTCTGGGGGCTGTTTTCGCGCGTCGCGACTGGTCAGAAATCGATTTGGGATGGCAAACTGGCCTAGATGGACTCCAGGAGGGGTCCAGGGCCTGATTTGGAGCGGATGTCACCGAGCATGCGGTACGGTGGTGTTGCGTCGACGCGGCGGCGACCCCACCGCGGGCGTTCAAGGTTGAACGCCGCCACTGGCCCAGAATCTGTCACGATGGGACGATCTGGCGATCGAGCAGCCGCCGATTCCTCGAGGTTGAACGATCCGCGCAGTGTCAAGAACCGGCGTCGAAGTCGTCACGACACCAACCCGCTGCACCCACATCCATGCTCTCGCGGCCTTGGCAGCGAGGCCCGACCCCGTGGATGGGCAATCCCCGGGCCGGGAGGAGGAGGAGGAGAAGGAGGACGAGGAGGAGGAGAAGGACGAGGAGGAGGAGGAGGAGGAGGAGGAGGAGGAGGAGGAGGAGGAAGGAGGACGAGGAGGAGAGAAGGACGAGGAGGAGGAGGAGGAGGAGGAGGAGGAGGAGGAGGAGGAGGAGGAGGAGGAGGAGGAGGAGGAGGAGGAGGAGGGAGGGGGGGGAGGAGGAGGAGGGGGGGGAGGGGGAGGGCATCTGCCCGGAGAGCCGCCCCGTGTCCACGGGGTCGCGGCCGAGGGGCCGCGGGCCGCAGGGGCCCGTGCACGAACGCGTCTCGCCGCCCGCGAGCTGCTCCATCGCACGGTGGTCGCAAATGCCGATGGGGCCCTCCCGCCTTCTCCCGCCTCTTGCGCGCCACTTTCATCCTGCTCCTCCTCCTCCTCCTCCTCCTCCTCCTCCTCCTCCTCCTCCCCCCTTGGCCTCCCCTCCGCCTGCTTCTCCGCCTGCTCCTCATCCCTCCGCCTCTTCCTCCTCCTCCTCCTCCTCCGTCGCCTCCTCCTCCTGCGCCGCCTCCTCCTTAGCGGCCTCCTCCCTAGCAGCCTTCTCCTCTTCCTCCTCCGCCTACCTTAGCCTGACTCCTCCTCCTCCTTTTCCTTT